CAGATGAGGAAAATTAGGAAGAAAAATGTATCTTCCTGTGGCTTACCTCAGGGGAGCTCTGTTTATTAATGTGCAAGCAAAATGATAAATTGCTAAACAAAAGGAAAAGACTTTTATATGTTATCCCTCTCATTTCTGATGATTTATGAATCTGATGGCTGCTTAGACATTCACATCATTAATTCAAGCACAAGCGAGGACAGATGAGGAAAATTAGGAAGAAAAATGTATCTTCCTGTGGCTTACCTCAGGGGAGCTCTGTTTATTAATGTGCAAGCAAAATGATAAATTGCTAAACAAAAGGAAAAGACTTTTATATGTTATCCCTCTCATTTCTGATGATTTATGAATCTGATGGCTGCTTAGACATTCACATCATTAATTCAAGCACAAGCGAGGAGACAGTGGCTCACACTGGAGCTCCCTGAAAGCCCTGCCACTTCAATTTAAACAGCCAAAAATAAACTTTTAAAATACAAAACAGGGATTAAGAAGCAGCTTTCCCTTTGCAGCTCATAATCCCACCTGGCCAATATTATTTGGAAAAATAAAAAAGGATGAATAAAACAATGCTCTATCTCTAACAGAGATCATCAATTTGACATTCACAGCATCAGACTAAGAGACATTATGGTTCTATTTCAATTTCTCAAGTATCGAAGGAGATTTGTGGGGGGTATCCATTTTTTAAAACTATAGTTTAAGTTTTTCATAGCGGTGCAAGGGATTCAACCACACTTCTCAATTAAAATGAATAGACTGTATGGCTCCATTCTCTGCATTGCTTTGAAAGCCTCCACTGTTGGTCTCTACTTCTCCTGACATGTCACAACAATTCTATCAGTCTTAAAGGGAGATACACCACATTCAATTTCATCCACGGATTCATTTCACCCTCCATTTAACTGTAATCAAAGTTCTAGAAGCAAATTATTGGTATTAAAAATAATACTACCTGAATGTCTTATTTCAAGTAAATAAACTGGTAATATTGGAGCACGCGATGTAATTTTGATGTTCAGGGCCATACACTCTTTGTTGAAGTCCTATTTTTCTAACTGGACAGCTTGCAGTTCTAGATAATTATGAATAGATTACAGATTTCTGTTATCTTTTCTTGACATGTCCTACAATTTGGTGCTCTAGACCTCAATTCAACAAGATACTTAAGCATGTGTGTAACTTCAAGTGCATTAGTATGAGGAGTCCATTGAGTCCAACAAGACTAGTAATTAGGGATGTAAAAACTGGGGGCTGGTCTACATGTTTCATGGACACATCTCAACTAAATGCTTCCTAGTTTTAAGGCTAAAATGGCCATTGGAGCTTTCTTGTGCAAAAACACATCTATACTGGGCAAGAATGCTTTTGCGCAAAAGCACTTTTTGCGCAAAAGCATCCGGACCAATCTAGACGCTCTTTTGCAGAAATACTTTTAACAGAAAAACTTTTCCATTAAAAGTATTTCCGCAAAATCATGCCAGTCTAGACGCAGCCAATCTGTTTTATTTCTCCTTTTATGAGATATACCGTGTGTATGTCTGCTACTTTATTAAAGTGCAGGGCCTTGATACTTCTAAAGACTGCCATGTTTTATTTCCATGAAAGTACAAACATTGATTAGTGGTTAGGAAAAGTTGCTTTGCATTTACTAAGGAAATACAAGATTCTTGTGATAGTAAACCTATAACGTCATATTAATATTTTGCACTTATTTAGCAGTTTTCATCTAGATATCTCATCTGGACCAGATTCTCAGCTGATATACACTGATATAGCTACACTGAAGTTAATGGAGTTCTACCTATTTGCATTAGCTAAGGACTCAGAACACTTTAAAAGTGAGCTATTCTTATTATCTCTATTCTGCCAAGTGGAGAACTGAAGTACAGTTGTCCAAGGTCAAACTTCAAATGAGTGGGGCAAACAAGACTCTTTGCACAATCAACTAGAGCACAACTGAACAGCTAACTGGTATGATAGTCACAGCATTGACACTGTCATTATTTGTAGTCCTTGCTATGGTCTAAGCTCAGAAAAAAGAGCCAGCTGTGATACACAACCCCTGTAGTCATATGGATAAAAGTATCAATCATTTATTCTCCTCAGACTGATAGGAATGGGTCTGATCACAAGACACCGGGCATGCTCATGATAAGAGTAGCATAAATCCCTTTCTTTGGATTAAGTATGGCATCGTTACATGTCACAGTTCTGTTTTAACTTGAAAATCCTGACCTCTGCATAGGGATGTTACCAATGATAATTTCGGAAAGACTTTAAACTTGATTTTTAAGATTTAGGTTTAAAAATGTTTATTCCGATTGATCCGAATGCCAGGTCTGAATGCGTATAGATGGATACAGAGGTGATTGCCATTTATTTGATGGAAGTGTCCTCTCTTGGGGAATTTGTTAGAGAATTGCCAAGTGCAGATTGCCTGTTTCTGATACTGAATTGAGACAGTGCTGTGATTGGGAAAAAGGCAAACCACAACCATGTTTATAAATCAAGTATCAGCTATTTATGTTTTTAGCTGCAAACAAAAGACATATTTCAATGGTTTTTCTGGAAAACGAGTGATAATTAAAAATACTGTAACATGAACCCCACTAGATTACATTTCTCATCTGAAATGAAAGCTTAGACAGCCTGACAAATTATCTACAAATATGGCTGTAGTTTGCCTCACTGCTGATCAGACCGTGGTCTCATTTCAGCATCAGAACTCGCTGAAACATGTGGCAGTTTTTTAACCCATCTCCCAGAAGACGACACTTATACCAAATAAGCATCACCCACATTTGTACTAGCCCTAGGAGTTTGAAGAGAAGCACGTTCCTCTTTAACAAACTTCACAGAACTACTAAGTACAATTATGCTCATCCTGCTGCCCCCACAGACTTTCAACAAATGCACACTTTCCTCCTTCTCCCTTCCCACTCTAAAATGAGCCAACCCATCCCCCAAGTCACACTGTGACTATCTGAAAAAAATCTTTCCCTCAAATGCTCATTAAACTTCCATATTCCCTCCCAACTGTTAGCCGCAGCCAGCCTTCTCTTCAGCATGGAGCTGCTCTGGGTTTTGGGCCAGCACATCCCCTTGGCTCTGCTGTAGGCACATAAGTGTTCTGGCCAGAGACAAAGAGGTGGTTTTCAATTGGGAAGGGCAGAGCAGAGTGCATTTATAACAGGGAGCCTTGACTCAGCTTTATCATTCAGTAGCCACAGACCTTCTCTTCTCCAAGGGACAGTATACCTTTGCGTCTTCACCTGGATCTAGAAGTTAGTCAGTCCCCAACTCGTGCCTATAGGGTCTTGGCCAATTGGCCTTATTCAAGTAGGAATAAGAAATCCTCCGGAAAAGGCTTTATTTTCCGGAGAATAACATCTAGACTGGCGCTTTTCTCCGGCTTTTCCCCAAGCCGGAAAAAAGTGGCAGCCATGTTAATGCAAATGCCGCGGGGGATATTTAAATCCCCCGCGGATTTCCCTATTCCAAAGTCTACATTAGCATCCCTTTTCCGGAAACGGGTGCCATTGTAGACACAGCTGAGGTGATCATTCATAATTTAACAAAATGTTTCGTATAACCGATATTCTGAGTTTATATATTACTATAAAAAGTAATAGATCACATTTTATAAGTTTCTCTGAAATAAAATAAAGTATCTCCTAAAATAAACATTGCTGATTCACCCTGGCATATATTTTAAACACAGACACATCTACATTTATTAATTTGAGATGTTTATCTATTCATAGTATTCTTCTAACGAACCATCACATTCCACTTTAATAAGATACCTGGAGACCAAAAACGCAGTCAATTTCACTAAAAACTCCGTTCCTCTTCTGAGCAAGGCTGCAAAGCCATCAACTGCAGCAGTGAGTGAAAAGAGACAGAAGATAAGCTGTGGAATTCTACAGAGTAGAAGATAGACTTGTTAAAGAATCTGGTCCTTGTAGAGTAAAGATACCACAGGACACAATACTAGTGAAGCTTTGAGACATGGACTTGTAGGCAAAAATAAAAGGGTATGTCTACACTACCACCCTACCTAGTTCGAACTAGGGGGGGCAATGTAGTCATACGGAGTTGCAAATGAAGCCTGGGATTTGAATTTCCCGGGCTTCATTTGCATAAAGCCGGCTGGCGCCATTTTTAAATGCCGGCTAGTTCGGACCCCGTGCCGCGCGGCTACACGCAGCACGAACTAGCTAGTTCGGATTAGGCTTCCTAATCCGAACTAGCTAGTTCGTGCTGCGTGTAGCCGCGCGGCACGGGGTCCGAACTAGCCGGCATTTAAAAATGGCGCCAGCCGGCTTTATGCAAATGAAGCCCGGGAAATTCAAATCCCGGGCTTCATTTGCAACTCCGTATGACTACATTACCCCCCCTAGTTCGAACTAGGGGGGGAGTGTAGACATACCCAAAGTGAGTGGTGTAAATAACGACTTATTCCTAGGGCAGAAAACATTTCTAAAATAGTTGATATAAATTTCAATCACTATTTTCCCAAATTGAATATGCTTTGCTGCAAATCAGTCCATACATTTGATTTTTGTATTGAAGTTTTTAGCATCAATTATTATGGAACAATTTTCAGACATGTAATTTTATTCCTTTAAATCAGATTTCTTCAAACACGTCTTCCTTCAAACATTTCTTCCTTGAAGGCTGGGAACGTGACAGATTTGAATTTTTGAAAATAAACTAGAGCTGTCTGAAACTCAGCGGTTTTGATTCATAGACATCAGCAGAACTTTGATTTTACTTTAAGAAAGTACACATCCTGAGTTTTGTCTTTGTTTCCAAACACATATATCCCTCGCTGATACACAGAGGAAAGAAACAGATCCATTAACCAAAACATGTCCAACATTTTCTTGAAACTCAG